AAAAAAGGATCATGGTAAACTTGTTTGGCCGGTACTCTGAATCAGAAAGAAAAGGATGCTAAAGAACGTCCCAGAGTGATAATAACTGGTGTGTCTTTCCTTTTATCAGGAACGTCTACCACCTCTGGCTCGAATGAGAGAGACGGTAGACCTTTATACACAAAGGGTAAATAATTTGGATTCTTTGCTCTTTTTAAATCACATTTATCAAACTTGGTTTATGTATTCACTTGGTGTAACTTTTGCAAACCTTGCTGACCAATTTATGTAATAAAACTTGAATGTATAGCTACTGACTATTCAAAAGAACTCTGTCTGATATCTGGCTTGAGCAACAACTGTAATTGGTGTATAACTATTAGTGTTGGTTGGTGGGAAGCCAGTCAGGGATCATGTCTTCATCACTGCACTGATGTTTGGTTGGGGTGCAGCTGGTGACGTCATGTAGTGACAAACACCACGGTGCAGGGGAACTACGAAAAAAACAAGAATTAAGTCAATTACAAAAGCTAGTCGGCAAGGTTTTAGTTAAACAAAATGAAATCATTCATTAATTCAAATAAATCATTGTATTACAATAAGTTGTGCTGTTGTGATCAGTATTTCATTAACGATGTTAAATAACCTCTTCATTAAATTTCAGTCGAACACTGTGGATCACACCCAAATGTTCCAAACGGGGATGTTGTGCAGCAGAATGATGAGTTTTTGAAATACCAATGTAACGCCTTTTACGCACAAGTCGGATCAGACACCGTGAAGTGTTACAACAATGGCAGCTGGTCACAACTACCCATCTGCCAAGGTATAAACAAGTCAATACCAACATTTGCTATTCACCAAGTCTATCAACCATACATCCCAAAAAATTACAGTTTTGAGTTTTTTTCTGTTAATTGTTTGTAGCAGCGTTCTGTAGCCTGGATGCTGCTGATCCGGTGTGGAAGAATTTAAGACTGTCTGGAGTTGAATACATAAAGGAAGGAGAGGAGGAGTACATTTCATGTATTTGGCGGTCTTACATCAGCCTTGTTAAGTGCATCAATGGAGAAACGGTTTATACCGGGTGTAAGTATATACGTATGCTCTTTACAGTTTAATTTACCACAATGCTCTTAATTTCAGCAGTTTATTTGCCAGATAACATACAGCATTTGAATATTAACTACATCTAAATCACTTAGTTCCAAGAAGAAAAGAAAAGTGTTTGCCTGTGTAGCTAAAGCCTTATTCCTCTTGTTCTTCTGTGCCATAGAGCTCAATTGTTGTCCAAAGTCTATTGAAAACATGTCAGTGAGCCACACTCTTGCATTGGGGAACATGTTCCTTTATTAGATTGAACATGGGCACTGTAGTTTATGTTGAGTCAATCCAACAAACGCCATCCTGGTAATGAAAATACTCACAAGCACACCTGATGAAGTTATTACAGCTTCAACAAGAAATATCTTCCACTCTGAAATAATACCCTGTTTCCTGAAGGAGTGGCCGGGTCTGACATGACAGGAGAGTTAGAAAACAAGTGAATGAACAGACTGGGAGAGGAAAATGCAAGAATGTCTTTAGTGAATCAGACTTCAATAACAAAGTTTCTCTGAGTAACTACTGAAATATTCACTGCTGTTGTTTTGTTTTTTTAGGTTGTCATTCTACTGACCATTATTATGTAAGTGTTTTGTGTGTTTAATATTGGAGCACTCTATATTAACATGTATTACACCTAGCAGTTTTGTGTGAATTAATCAACTTGTTTCATTATTGATTATTGTCTGTGTTGTAACAGGGACGTTGCACGTAAAGCACAGCAGAGGAATCACTGCTGGACCGACGACCTTCCATGAAATAGTCTCCATTTACCTTTAACATTCTCTTGTATCTTTATGATTGTAACTCTTAATGCACTAACAACCAGACCTATACTTTGAATATAAATTAAGTTACTTTGGTCTACAGTAGTCTGAATAAAATGTTCACTACAGAAATCTTCTTTGCATTATTTACTTGACCCATTGGATATATATCAGTACGTTTTGGCTCTTCTTGTATTGAAATATGCAGACACATGGACTGACAGACCACTAGGTCCACTGTCTGTTTCAATGCTTCATGGTGGTTTCATAACTAAATACATTTAAAAAACAGAAAAAACAACTATTCAAAAACATGTATAACTTGTCTGCCATATATCTTTAAAATGCTACAGGTAGATCTGTGGCTGCCTAAACAACAATGATTCAGAAGCACAATTCATGATTGTTCATTGACAGAATCATAAGTTTACCGATTGGATTTACTCATGACCTGCTGATATGGAAACGCATATATGGATAAATAAACAAGATAAACAAGAGGAGTCTACAGCCATGTCTCTGACATTAGCATTAACACACAGAGGGCTTTGAGCTACATGCTAACATCAGCATGCTAACATATTCACAATGGCATGATAAACACAATGATGAAATGCTAAGCAGGTAGGCCTATAATGTTTACCAAGTTCACCATCTGAGTTTAGCGTGTTAGCATGCTAACATGTGCTAAATAGCACATGTTAGCATGCTAACATGTGTTAAATAGCACTTAGCACAGAGTAAATAAAGTTGACTTCTCATAAAATGAGGACTGATTGTGACATGATGAATGTTCTTGTTATCTCAAGATAATATTAAGTTTTGTCAGAACAATAAGAGAGTTTTCTGTCTCAATCTAAACCCAACAGGAGCAGATGGAGGTAACTCACTCATACTGCATGAGATTATTCAATCTACATATGAAGTGTATACAAAATGTAATAAACCTTCAAAGATTTCACCAAAGCAAAGTATTTGCT